TTNTTATATATATATATATATATATATATATATATATATCGAGTGACACGTGTACGTGTATGTACTAATTCGTTGCAACGTATTATTTTTCGCGGGTTATTTCGAACGAAGAGTGTTAATTGAACGCCGCGTTTCAAAGGATTGCAAATTTAATCGGGCTCCTTTTTATTTTTTTATACTCGAATCACCACCGATTTTCCAATTCCCTCTGTTTGACGTCTATTGAAATATTGTTGTAACGCGCCATCGGAGAGCGCGACGAGGAGTGCAGGCTTCACCTTTGACATTTCGTCGATTAAGTCGGTCTGAAGCGCCGCCGATTTCCGTATCGAGACCGGCCACACACAGTTCAAAACAACCGAGACAATGCGATTCTCGATATCTAGCGAGAAACAACTCCTTCCCTCCTATACCCAGTTTAACATTGAACGTTTTCAAACCTTGAATGTTTAAAAAGTGATAATACTGAATAATAACGCATTGTCTCCGCCTCCTTGTTGAAATTTCACTTAGAACGGTTCTTTGAAAATTTCTCGAACCTCTTTTCCCACGAAAAATCGTTACAATCGAGCGGAAAGAGGAGAGAATTTATTTCGTTTAAATTCTGGCAAAATTGTGTACACGTGTCGTGTAAAATTTCACTCATTTCGAGTGCAAGCAAGTTAAACGTTATTCGAGTTATCTTAACAATCAACTTTATTTTCTACTAATTACTTTTTTACAACGCCAAGATAATCACGTAGGATATACAGGCTTTTTAATTAAATTCGAGTTTATATCTTTTCGATTTCTTCTCTTCTTTTTCTCCTTTTTCAAATCTTCAATTTTCGATTTCTCGGTACATTTCCATTTTCGAACGGCCGGGTCCGTAAAGGTGTGGCCAATCGAGGAAAGCAATTTGGTTGGCTCTTTGCGGTCGCGCGCGACGGAAATTGAATTTTATGCGAGGAGGCGATATTAATTGACGGGATCGGTTAGACGGGGCGTGAATCCAATCGAGCCTAAAAATTTCGTGCTTTGCCATTTTTCCGTGTAATATTGTAAATATTAGCCAGGTGTTCCACTTTAATTAGTAGATTTAATTAGTAGATGATGATATTTATATTGAGAAGAGAGATAGAAGAATTAGACAGTTTAAGTAATAAAATTCACAACGTATATATTTTTCTTTCGGGTGTTATCCTGTTTTTAGGCGTGAGACACAGTAGTTTTTGCTGCTTCGAGCTGCCTCGAGCCAACCAAATGCTCTTTTTATATAATGACGTATCATGTTTCAAAGTAAGAACGTGCTTTCTGCTGTTTCACGAAAGTGTACACTTTTCCAACGGTTTTGGCATTTCTCGAATTATTTTTCAAAAAGTCTCTCTTCTTTCAACCATTATTATCGCGCGATTCTTTTCTCTTTGATTGTTTTTTTTTTTTTTTTCTCTCATTCGCGTGAAAAAAACACACTGTCGATACATATATCTCGCGACAATCGATAATAAGATAATAAAAGATCGAAATAGTGGATATTACTTTAATTCTAAATCGAAGGATAAATTGAAATAGTTATGCGAAAACCTTGTTTATATCGACAATACAAAATTTGTAATAAAATGATGAAGATTTCAGCTGTGTTCAGAATTGATTAGAAAGAGTTAATATCTGGAAGAGTTAATACTGGTTTAATTGTTCTTTATAAAGTTGGTACATCGAAGATTTTATCGTAAGGATCGTGTAAACGTTCGTTTTATTTATATAAAAAAGATATTAAAAAAAAAAAAATGTTATTCCCAATACGAAACGATAAGTTCGATTCGTTCTGGCGAACCGGAAATATTAAATTCAAATTGTATCAAGGTTATATAAATGTTAAATATGTATCCCCCGCATATTTGGGCATTGAAATTTTATGGAAAAAGATTCATGGAAGGCAGAATTGCTAACCTTCCCATTATTCAAATGTATTGATATCAAAACACGAGCGTGGAAAGAATTTCGAAATCGTTTGAAAAATCGAAATTCGTTTTCGTTTTAAGAGATTTATGATTTTTCAGGAGATAAAATTCGAAACGATTTTTAAAAATATCGAGATAAATTAATTTCTTCAGAGATAAAAATTAAGGATATCAAAGTTTCGAAAATTAAAAATTTTTTAAATTCTTCGAAAAAGTTTCCGATTCGTTATGACGCGTTCCAAAATATTTCACTTTTTTATGGATAATTTATTTCAATTCGGTGGACGCACTCGATTTCTTAATTACAAATTTCTTAATCCAAAACTTTGAAATTTTAATTTCTCCAATTTCGAACTCGCTTTCCCTTTTCCGATGGATAAATCGTTTTTCTTCGATTTCTAAGAATATTAAAAAATTAAAGACATTCGAAATTTCAAAATTTTCAAGATTTCGATTTTTTAATCGCATTCAATACTTTGAAATTTTTATTTCTCGAACTTCGAACTCATTCATACAGCATCTTTTCTTTTCCATCGTTTTTCTTCGATTAAGAATATTCGATTTCTCAGAATACTACAAAATTAAAGGCATTAGAGACATTCGAAATTTTTAAATTTGTTCATTTTTTCGATCGAGGACAATCGATTTCCCAGAAAATTAAAACGCTCGAAATTTTAAAAATTTTGAAAAACTTTCGATTTGCGTCACAATTTCCAACATATTTCTCTTTTTCGATCAGTCAGTTTTCCGGAAAGAATAAAAATTAAAAACATTAAAACAATTAACTTAAAAATAATTTAAAAATTTCGAAACTTCCGACATATTTTCATAAATAAATCGTTGTTCTTCGATCGATATAAAAAACACGACATCGGATACAACAAGGTCATCGTTGTGTATGTATGCGTGTGTGCAAAGCCCTCGTTTATAATTTATCGATGGTAGCGCGCCAACTTTTGAACTTGCTTGAAACTCGCCCTCCGAGACTCGCCGCCAGATAATCGCGAGATACGTTGCGACATTTTACACGCCGCGAGTCTTCTACAATTCGATCCGGAATTTCACATGGATATCGAACGATAATAAAAACTTCAATTTCTCTTATCGACTCTCGGCCGAGAACAGAGGGAAACTTTCACAATCTCTCGACATTTATCTCCGACTTTCAGCCAACGTTATATCGTAACATACATCAGCATTACGAATATACCGCTTGTCCTATTCCTCGCCCCTTCCACCTTTCCACGCCTTTCCCCCATTCGCGATTCGCGTGAAAAGGCTCGTTACGATCTGTACGGATAAACGTTTTCGAAACGTAACTTTTCCACGGTGAGAAGAGACAAAAAATTTGCTTGACACGCGATACCGAAAGAGATATTAACGATTCTTGCAATTAAACAATTATTACTCGTCTGCCTGTTAAACGAGAGACTAACACGTGTACCGTTTTGTTGGGAATATTTGATTTGTAAATTTATATTTTTTTGTATTTGTTTTCGCGAATATATACTTCAAAACACGTAGATTCGCAAGGTGTAGACGAAAAATTGGCGGGATATTCAAATATTCGCTACTATTCGGTACAACTCGCTATTCGCATTATATCGCGCAACGTGACACACGCTTCTCGGGAAGCGTTGAAACAATTAACCTCGCACGACACAAGATACCCGTTCGCTACGTTTATTTTAACAGGTATAGACTAAACTAGGTATAGTCAATTGCTGTGCGAGACATGATCTCGCGTCATAGTAGTGATCAAACAGTTAATAATTTAAGTCGTATAATAATAGTAATAATAATAATAATAATAATGAAGTTATTATTAACGTCCGAGACACGACAGTCGATCGTGAGAAAGAGCGAAGAGAGTCGAATTCGTCGAGTAAGTTAAAACTTATCTTAATCTCTCGAGGGAGATAAAAACTTCTCGAAAATTAATATTTCTCGTTTTAATATATCTCGCCAGCCGGTCTGTTGCGGTTAGCCTGGTAGTAAAAAAGACGCATCGATCTAGGGACGATGAGGACAGCCCCCGATATAATTACTCCGCGACGACCTCGCTCTCTCGTCGCGCTCGTCTTGCTGGCATCGTTAAGGTCTGCTGCATTTAACAAGAGCGGTCATTCGATTCTCTATTTTGTTAAACGACCATTCCCGATAAACACGTGTATGGAGCGTGGAGACGTCTACGTCCCGTTTCGCGGCATTAATAAATTTCCGATACTTTTCCATAGATTCGTGCTAATCTTTTTCATCGGATCTTTACGATGATAAAATAACATTTATTTATTTGTCGAGGCATCATTTTTTCCGATAGTTTCGTGCCAATTTTTGTGTCATATTTATTTATTATTGTTCGAGGAAATATTATTATTTTTTCTTTTTTTTGTCAATAGTTTCTACGATTCGTGGTAGTCTCTTTAAAGAGAAGAACATTTTCAAATTTATTTACCATTGTTGAAGGTTTGTCACACTAGTTTCAACTACTTTTCCTACGATTCTCTTTTAGAAAAACAATTTTCAAACCAACTTCTACGATTTTTTTCTTAATGAAATATTTATTTATCATTGTTCCAGGCATAATTTAAATAATTTCTGATGATTATGTGGTAAAATATTTATTTTTATTATTATTGTTCAAGGTCGTATTACTCCCTTGATAAAATATTTATTTACCATTATAGTCAACAAGACTCGTGATATCAATTGATTTTCAATTTGTCACGTTGATTCGAAGGTAAAGAGAGAACGAAAGGTACACCTTTGATAAAGGTCGATAATTATAAGGTTACGCTTCGCGAGACAGTTCAGTGGGATGACGAGCATGGCATCGTGGGAGCGTGCCAACTCGATCGTTCGATTCTTAAGTCTCCTTGACGATGAGACAAGCGAGGAGGATTTATTGCCCTTTGAAACCGCCACACGTTATGTGTCTCACACGCCACGACTTTCGAATACCTTTTTGTTATCTCTTTCGTTTGTTGCACGCGACAGAAATACACGGGAGGGATATAAATTTAATTTTATCCCGCGATTAAATATAATCCCGGCCGATATTTATGGTAAATATCACGCGATAGTGTGTTGTGTAACGATAGAGCATCGTTTTATTATCCTTACTTCGCGATTAATATTAGATGTCTGTTGTTCGAAGAACGTTGGAGGATCGACTGCGTTATCGACTGAAATTTCTCCGATGGTAAATAATTCAATGGTCGAAAAATTAATTCTTCTAAAAAAGAAAAAAGAAAAAGCAATACCGTCTGGATACACGTGTTATACAAAACGTCATATTACTACTCGTCACGGACGACAACGAAATTGACGACGAGTTGACTGAGGGAAGAAGAAGCACTTTCATTTCGAATTCATCTGCCGAAGTGGATTCTCGTTCGCTACTCTGCTACTCATTTACTTTCACCTGTCACGGATTTTCGCTCTTCCTCTCGAAACCCCGTCGTCGCACTTTTCATCGCTCGCTCGAATCGACCGCCAACCTTTAACGTCCATCATCCACCACGCAACGTCGAGCGTTTGTTCTAATTACCGAACTCGAACTTGGTATTTCAATTTGCTCGTTCGATCGTCGCGCCCCATCCTTTTTGAATCTCGCGTAATTAGACCGGTCTATTCTCTTTCTCTCTGTCTCTCCTCTCGTCCCTTTGTTACTTTTCATGGAACAGAGAGAGAGAGAGAGAGAGAGAGAGAACATCGACCCTCTCGGTTTGCATTCGAAAACAACGCTCTTTGATGCGTGTGTAATCGCGATTTTCTACCCGTTCTCCCTTCCTTTTTCGTTTTTTTCTGTTTTGCTTTTTTTTCGTTTGTATTTTGTCCCTAGGAGAGAAGAGAGAGAGAATATTCGATGAAAAATTGATCGCGCGTTGGATTTGTCAGATTCTCGAAAGCGGCGGAGAAATGTTGTTCAAAGATAATTGAATCGAAGGGAAGAGAAGCGTGTTTTTAGTTCATCACGCAATAATCGATCGATCGATAATGGCCGGTGAACGCTATAAACAGAGCGAGAAGAAATTATCATTCTAGCATAACGCTTTACACTAGCGTGGATCCATTGAGCCACTTCGGTGGTCCGTGTGTATTTTAAGCGATGCTTATAATTACGTCGAGAGCGAACTCGCGTCCTCGATTTTTCATTTCAGTCCATCGTTTACCTCGAAAATCTTTTCTCGTAAGATAAATAATTTCAATTGGATAGAATCTTTAATCTTTGACGTTTGGTAAGAAGTTTGTATCTGTCCGAAGTGTCATGTACATCGCACAAACCCACGAGACGATCCCCAATGCACAGTTAGTCGCATAATGCCTGAACTGTTCGTTTACACTGCACGCGACACACTTGGAAGTTCTCATGAATAGACAATAGAAGAAACTGTTCTTTCTCGTACGTACGATTTTAATAATGTGTAACATTGACGCGCAAAAAGTAACTAGCTAGTTGAAAGAAAAAAAACTTTTCCGACTTCCGTTTCGCTCGTTCCGTTTATCCGCAACGAAGACGAATCCAGAATCGAGGGAGCATTAATTTCTGTTCCATATTTCTTCTCTTTCCTTCCTGGGAGAGCCGCCTCGACGGCGCCCTCTAGACTTTGGCTCGTCGCCAACCTCTCTTCTTTCTCTTTTTCGACCTCCTTGCCATTACCCCTTGCTCTGCTCGTTTGTTACCTCCTTTTTTCTTTTTGTTCTCCTCCGTTTCCTGCTTACCTTCGTACCGTATCGATACGATTACGTAAGCTCTCTTGAATCGAAAAAGGAACGCCGAAATAGGAACACGTATAGAGTGATACTTTTGTCAGTGAACTCTAGAGGCAGTACCATCGCCTATATATCGACAACATGGCGATAATTTTTGTGTTTAGCATACGGCGAATTGTCGATTGAAGAGATTGAAATTGTTATTATTTCTGTCGGTGAGTGAGTTGGTGACGAAGAGATCGAAATCGCAATTTTATTATTGAGTAGTTATTGTTGATCACTATAGCGAAGACAATTGTACTTTGTAACGTTCGAAGAGATTATAAACTGTATACAAATTTAAGGTTATATTCGAAATGTTTAGGCAGTGACATTATTTACTTGAATCGATCGTTTTCTAATCATTTTCGTCAATCTTGGTCGTTGTCAATGCCTTTTCTGTTTCTCAGAAGTATTGAAATCGAGACGAGGAAACGGATAGTGGAATCTTGAGGAAAAGAAAAAGAAAAGCTAGGAATTCGATCTGCGCAAGGCTTCGGGTCAATAACCCTATACGTTTTCTTGTTGGCTCGAACTGCAGGGTTGGAGGGAGTGAAATAGGAGAAAACAGCTGATGTCGCTTAGGGTGAGGCGATCTCGTTCGATCCATGAAAGAAGAATGGGACTTCTTGTAACGACTTAGATTCGTTTAATATCATGAAATCAGGTTTGGATATATTATTTCCTTAACGATTCGTTAATTAATAATAATATTTGAATCGAACAAGCATTTCAAAAGAATATTTAACCGAGAAAAATAATAATTCGCTTCATGGCCGACAATGTATTTCGTGCAATTTTATCTTGAGAAACATTCGAAAAATTGACATTTATCGCGGCCGAGAAAAAGGTATTCCCAACGACCTGTCGGTTTTATCCTCGAATTCAAAGGGCTAAATGGTCGATTTACAATCAGACAGGCATTGCATTCGAAAGCAGAGAATATTTTTGCCGGTGGATCTCGGTTGGTGGGGCAGTGGTTGGCACAGAGAATTCGAAATCGACGATTTCAAGTGTCGTGTCCTAGTGCTGGTATCCACCGGTTTAACAATACTTCCCTCTATCTCCCTTTCTTTCTCTCTCTCTCTTTTCCTCGACTCTGATCTCTCTGTTCTTCAGGCATGCCGTATTGATCGACGAACACAAGCAGTCGGGGGAACTCGGTGTTGGACTTCCATATACTATACACACACACGTGTTCTGGTTCCGGTACCCGAATTATGTTAACTATACACTCGTGTGGAGGCATTTAAAGTTTTAGACAAACATAAATTAGATTTTTCGTAATAATTTTTCCCTCGAATAATTTTTAAAAAAATTTTTAAAATCAGGATTCGATTCTACGAGACGAGATAAATTACGAATATATTATTTTCTTAAATTGCTTATGATTTTTAAAAAAAATGCAAATGTAAATCGTTACTACACTATAATTCAAAAGTCAAATGTTACGCATTTTAGCATATCGATGAATATGCGATTGACGTGATTTGAGGATAAATAGAAGGAAAGTATATCGTAATTAAATTCAACGTATTATATTATAAGCCAGACATGTATGCATTATTACATTTTAATTTTAATTTCAGTTTCTATGTCAAACGTACACACGAATTGATGTAAATATCAATTTTTTATTTCATTTCGTACGAGACTCTGGAACGTAAGCCTGGACATTTTCCTTCGAAGATATTAATTAATATACAGAAAATATATTTACAGAGAAAAGTTAAGTGTTTTATAAATACTTTTTGTATTTTTCTCAATCGATAATTATATCATCGATAATTATCGTCATGTATAAAAAAATAATTAAGATTTTTTTTATTCTTAATTTTCAATAATTATATATAATAATATAATTAAATGTATATCTCCCTCGATCAGCGATCACTCGAAATATCGAAACGCAGAAATGTCGCGTTATTCATTGAACTAGTTTTACGTAGAATTTAAAAAAAAAAAAAGAATCGTTTCTCGTTCGCTTAATACCGTTTCATGCCCCATATTCGGAACATTATTGTCTTTATGACAAACGAACGTCACAGAGATATGATAGAGACAGCAACGATTTAATATTCTACACTTAAATCATTCCACCTACGTGACATATTTTAAGTATCTATATACATCCTCTTCAATATACATGTACATTTGACATATTTTTAATCAGTACAATATACAATGATATCGTAAAATTTCATATTCAAAAAAAAAAAAAATTCAAATAAACTCCGTTCCATATATCAACAAACAAGAACAGATCGCGTGATCGTAACGCTCACTTTTCGCACGATCGTCTCACGATAATCAAATATGAACGAATTAACACATCACAGTAAATTCTTCTAAACGGTTCTCACGAAACCCCAAGATTATGAGCTCTCACTTTTGAAATAAAATCGCGGCGATTATCGAGCCGAGGCGTGACTATTACCTAGGCTTATTTGAATGACGCGCGCGCTTGACCGATAATGTCGTCACGGGAATATTCGCGTTATGCGCGCGCCATTAATTCTCCGGCCGTGCTGCTTGATTTTCGTGGTAAGCGAAAGCGAAGTGTCGGTTGTTTCGTGCTCGACCACGAGTGGCACCGCTTGTTAAAAACGCTCTTTCGCCCGTGGTATACCGCCGCGCGACTGACACCGATCTCTTTGAGCGAAAAAAAGAAGAGATTGCCGGTGTTTTAGGCAGAATTTTAGATTTTTCATGACGATCGATCAACGAAACGAGGTGAAGATAAAGTTTTTTCTTGCATACATTTTCCCGTGCTTTGCATAGCGATGTTACGAGATCGTATTTTTTAAGGTTAAGTTAGGTTAGGTGAGATCTTTTTTGGTTAAATAAGTGCGATTAAATTATGGATAATTTAGAGACGTGTTTTATCGATATTTTTGAACGAGAAGGCGTGATATTGTAGGCGAATTTTGAAGTGAAAATGGAATTCGTAGAGTTAGTGTATAAGTAATAACAATTATGAAATTAAAAATCTCGTTATCTCTTTGATTAAACAAGACATATCTTTTCGATTTTTTTAATGAAATGGAACATTAGATTAGGTTAATGTAATACTGATAATGTAATAACTTTACTTTTATCGGTATTTTAGATTGTGATAATAATGTATCAATGGAATGAACGTGAAAATAGAATTTTCGCTTTTTTCCTGCATAATAATATAATAACATTGCATTTTATCGCATGGATCTCTTTTTGATCGAACAAGGGTAATCGAATTCTAAATAATTTAAAATCGTGTCTTTTAATTGAAAAATTTCTTGTCTTCCCTGCAAAAAAAAAGTTGTCCTGCAAATCATTTCATATGTTAATTCTATTTCTCGTAAATTATGCTTAGGTTTCTTGTTTTTGTGAAATAGAGATCGTTAAACATGGAACTGGTCAGGAATACCGAAGAATTTTATAAAAACATCTACTCAACGTTGGATTTCTACTCGGAAATTTCATTTTCTTCTGCCGGCCTTGTTCCAGCCTCTTTAATTGCGTGTTTCAACTGTCTATCGGATCGCAACACACTTCTTTCGATGCGTTCAATAATTCATTTCTGAAGTTTTCCAAAGATAGATTTCCACGTACGATTAACGTTACCATTCCTTCCAATTGCAATTGCGTTACTGTGACGATCGTTATACTCGATCAAATTCATAAATCATATATAAAGTCAACATAGCGTGGCAAAGGACAATCGATGCATCGTCGTGTGAGTTGAAGATTAAATTGGTATTTA